TGAAAACTTTTGACAGTTGTGCCACTTTCTGGGAGATAATAAAATTTTGGAATGAGAGGAAAAAGTCAAAGTTGGTTGAGTTAGCTAAAGTTTGTTGTGATAATATATGAAATGCAAGTACAGCTTTGTTGTTCGAAGTCTATCTTCTATTAGATAGCGAAATAAAATTGAGTATCACAAATTGCGCAAAATAGTAGAATTGGATAATATCGGGTGAGTAGGTAATTCAGCTCAATCTTACAGTTGATTCTTATAACTTATTTTTCTTTAGTTGAATACCAAGTAACAGACTAAATAAAGCAGCACACTTTCGGATGAAGAATCTACACAATATATTCAAGGAGACTCGCTAAATCAACATCAATGTAAATGAATCTAAGGCACAACTAACCATACGCCATTGGTAATTGAAGACAGGACTATTCGCCAATATACTATGATTTATGAATTTTCTTTTTTTATCGTGCAAATAGGCACGATGGATCCGAGAAATTCTAATTGGTCTGGCTAAACTGGCCCACCTGATGCCAACGGGGCAGGAAGTATATCATGTGGAATGAAAAATCATTAAAAGGCTCAAACTTTTCTTTCATTTATTGTTGCTTAGAGCATTCACTGCCATATATTTGTTTCAGGTAGTAACTTTGTCACTGATAAATAACGCCTTTTTTTCTTAAATTGCATTTAAATGTTAAATCAGTAACTGCACTTCTGATTATATATTTTAAGATCTACTAAGATTACTTTCAGCATAACTTAGCTTCAGGGAAAATCTCAAGTTATCATTGAATGTGTACCAAATGGGAAAATAATTACTTTTGGAACGAAGTCCGTGGGAACTGTATGAATAAAGTAAAAAAATAAAAAAATCTTCGGATTTAAGCTTGAATAATGTATGCACAGAAAATGCTCAGTTTTAATTAAAAAGACGATATCTGTTGCCAATGAACTTGCATATTTATTACTTAAATTATCATATTCAATTTAAAATTACAAAGTTTATTAAATAACGTCAAGTGAATTCTCGAATCTGGTGGAAACAGAAGAAGTTGTAAGGTAATAGTTGAATTAATTTGATTAAAAATACGCAGATTACAAAATTTCTTATATAATTAGGAAAATTTACACCTTTCTGATGGAGAATAAAATCCTTTTATAACGTGCCATACAATTTATGAGAATATTAAAAATATTTTGGCTCCGAATTATTCTCCTTTTTTCACCATTCAATCTAGTACTTTCCTAAAATTATGACTCCAACTACACTTATAGCATTACGGGCATACTTTGTTTTTCTATGTATAGAAACTGTGCAGGAAGATTGAAACTCCATAAAAATACACTATTTCTTAGCAAAATACTGATTATTACAACAATTCTGTTTGCTCTATTAGTTTGTCACATGTAGCGACCAAACACTTACTAATAGCATGTACTGAGTTCGCATTTAACAGCGTACAAGAGTAAATGACTATTGTAATTTTATGACAAAGGAGATAAAAGCTTTGGATGTTTTGTTATGGAATGGTAACTTGACAAAAAATAGCCATAAGTGCTGGTGGCAAATAGTTGAATACCTGGTGCAGTTTGGAGTACTGAAAAATATCTAACTTAGAATTTTCTAGACTTCCTCGCCTCGTTGGCGAATTGATTTAATTGCAAGGTTGGTTTGTACAAAGTTCATCCGACTATTCATGCAGCCATTGGTAGGTAAATGAAAGTGCTAATGACATGCAAACACCAAAGTGATACAATAACCCCAATTCTAAGTATATATTTTGTAAGTTAATTGTTTATTTATTATACCCCTCTGGAAAATCTTTGAACTGCAGGTTGATAATCTCAGCTTGATTTCAATATCGATTTTGTAGCTTGATTGTAAAGTGCCCTACTGTAGCCGCGTGAATGGTCTATACTTTAAATTGATATTAGCGAAACATTTAATTTAAAAGATAACTATGTTAGCTAAAAACCATTACGCTCACATGACGTTATTATGGAATAATCTTACGAACGCAATAAATAATGCAAATGTAATCAAATAAAATACTATATCTTTAGGCATATTTCATTACCTTATTCGTGCTAGCATTTGAAACATGTTTTTTTACTTTCGTTCAAATTTTAATACTTACTTATTCCTACTTGAAAGAATGTTCTTCATACCTACTCAATCACTTACAAAATAATAAAAATTTTTCTTTCCAAATGAAATTCTAAATGGTGAAGAACACGTAAATTAAAATTTTGTCAGCTATAAAATAAATGACAAATAGATCACATGCATCTCCATTATTTTAGAGATTAAAAAATAACTGAAAATTGGTCTAAATATTGTGGCTCCATTATGATGCATTTAAGAATCAATGTCAACAGTTGAAATATTGCTTGTATAAATACCTTTACTCAAAAATTTTGATTTGGCATTATTAGGTATTTGATAAGAAGATTGCATTTACGAAGAAAATCACCACTAACTATGCAAAAAGAAATAATTAAAATATTTATATAATGCTAAATGTTCTGAATAATTGAAATTATTAGCTTAAACCAGTACCAGAAGAGCGCAATTTAGAATGTTTCTTTACAGTCCAAAAGCTCCACCTTATGATATTGCAATAATTTATGAAATAATATTAGGTACAGGAAAATTTTCCTTGGATTTGACCAGTGTTTAACATCAAAGCTCTCTTCTTTTCGGGTGAATTTAAAAAAATCCCGTTACAAGTATTTCTAAAGTTTCTTCGCAAAAAATGGTATTGAAATTCTTAAGTAACTTTTGTATGATTTAAAGTTTGCAGGAAATGGACAGCTAAAATTCTGGTTTAATAACCACCTGTAAATGAGCAGAGCCGTGGTTTTTTAAAATTATTTCCATGCCAGTTGCCGCTTGGTATTTCCTGTTTTACTTTAATTTGCCTGGTAGGTGTTTTGACGCTTTTACCATGAGAACTGCCATTGTATTTCCAAGAGATTGGTGGAACTAAAGACTTCATTGGTATTTGGAAAGATTTGTTTTTTCAGGAATAATAGGTATTTAAAATTGTTTTTCAATTCAAAATAGAGTAAATAGTTAATAAGAACGATTAACCATGTAGAAATCCCATTTATGAAGCACTGAATGTTATTCACTATCTGAATATTATCTTGGCTTCTAGCAAAATAACTAAAACATGCCTTCAACGGCATTTTTGCCCTTTTTATTCCATTAAATTTTGCTTAAAGGTTTTAACAATCATCTAGACAAAAGTTCACTCTGATTTACTAAAATAATGGTAATAAGTGAAAACCAGTAGTTGCCCTGTTACAAAACTCACTTTCTACTGAACAGAATAGTACCAACATCATTGAATGTGCACTTAATTAATTGAATTGAAACCATTCACACCTAGTCTTGCTAATCTAATCCGATTAATTAATGATTTTGGTCAAGAATTTTCTCAATCCAGAGGTTTAACACATTATAAATATTGACGTGGCGAAATCAGACAGATATGAGAAAATTGAATAAAAAGATGCCCTTTAGGGGAATCTTTATTTTTCCGATTACACTTTGCATACTCTAGGAAAGTGAAAATTTTAATGTTTTAAGTTAGAAGTTATCTATTTCCGGGCCATTTTGGCACTTTTTAATGACGTCCTTGATGAAAACGTAGAAAAGCCATCTCGTATAGCACTAAGTGAAATTGTTGGTTTTATCAACTGTTAGCACCATTAAAAGATTATTTAAATAGAAATTATGTTATTTTTCTTCAAATTCATGCAGACAATGTTTATATGTTTGCATCAACCTACATCTGCCCTTTACCTGCCACCGAAAAGACAATCCAATGGTCACTTTTATGATAACAACTAAACATGAGTGGTTCCATCAAGGCCTGATGGTGCAACTTTCCCCCACTTTTAGTCCCCATTTATTGAAAATTTTATTCATTTTAAGTATTCGCTGCCGATTTTGAAGAAAAATGTCTCTTTTCCTTATTAAACAAATTTTGGGAACCACTAAGAAGCATGCAAAATTTCTTCTTGTCATATCATCACCTTGTGTTTCTTTACTTGGAACAAAATTCGTTCAAAATATTTTCTATTTTACTCTTCGAAATTAGGGATCCTAGTTCCGACGTGACGCAGTAAATAAAAAAATGTCCGTACTTCATTTTAAATAAAACTATACTCAAATATGCATATACCGAAGGAGGATATATAGGACTATATTATCTCTGGGAAAATGTGTAAAACTTGGGCTAGTTTAGGACATCAAAATTCAGGAACTTTTAATGGAAACTAATTTATGGCGCAAGTAGTGCACAACATGTCGCTTAGTTTCCGAGAAAGTTGGTTTGGGACGTGGCAATAAACACTTTCTTGAAAACACTAATTAAATTCACAGAAAGATTACTAGCATACAATTAATTACTAAATAATTGCATTCAATTTAGGATTCCTTGGATTTTAGATTTAAGTAGCAATTAACAAAGTCATAAGTTCTACGGCAATTTAGGTTTTTCAAAAAGAAATAACTTTATTTTCTCAAAAAAATGTTTGATGTGTGTGCCAGTTTTTTTAATTTAAAAAAATTTCATTTAAGTTATATTGCGTATTAATGCAAATTTTATATTTTTATTTGAATGATTTATGAGCACACGTCTTAAAGATTCCTTCTAAGAGTATTAAAAAGTCTAATAGTACGTTAATGATATCATTACTTTCTGCGAAACATTTAAAATCATATCGGTTGTTCTAGTATTTCAAAGCAGCATTTTTCATTTAGATATTTAAAATATTTTTTGCTTAAACGCTGATTGGTTAAGGAATCAAGAATGTCGATCAGTCATTCTTTAGGCCAGCATCACGCACACGCACACTAAAGACGGCAAGTGACTTCGTGCACAACTCATAATCCATTGCAAATGTGATCACATCTATTACTTCTTTGCCCTCCCTGCCAACGCTATTTTTAAATCAAGCAGAGCGTTTTATCAATTCATTCTGTGTGCGAGATGCAGAGGATGTTTGTGGATAAATGTCTTTCTCCCCCGCCTGTTCCCACGGGATCAGAGTCCATGGCAAGCATCTTTGGATGCAACAACGACCCACCGCCTTCACCACCCATTAGATCTGCTAATAAATTCGGCAGCGGTACTGGAGAAATACTCATGAGGATGGGAAGACGTGTTAGTCAGGCTTTAAATCTCCGTTCGGTTTATAACAAAGTCGCTGAGGAGTAAGCACTGTTTCACCTTATAGACCTATCTTAATATTTTATTTCCTCCTTGATTACATTAAAATCTTAAAAAGCATTGATTTGTGCTCATTTTAATTAACAGAGCAGTATATTATGATTTAATAAGTTAATTTTGCTAATGTATTACTGGATTGACGTAAAGGGCGCTAGTCATGCTTTCATTCAATTAAATAGAAAAATGAGCCTGAATTTTTTTTTATATTTTTCACTCAATATTTTAAACCATAGATTGAATGGTGAAAAAAGGTTTTAATATTTCATCGTAGACTTAAAAAATTCAAATTTACCTGAAAAATCTGTCAAAACAACCCATTATTCAACAGCCCTGTACAACTACGACGCAACCGCCAGAAATGAATCAAATCATTATTTATTATTTTTATATTAAAATTTTGAATGCAGAAAAAATTAAATTTATGAGCTAATAGTATGCAAATCTCTAATGGAACTCACTTAAAGTGAAAATTAGCGGAATATTTAATGTATAAAGTTTTCATTGTTTATGGGATATGTATTCTACTTTCAAGTTTTTCCATAGATATAACCAAGCATTTCAGATATTTTCTAAAAAGTTTTTCACAAATTTGACAGTCATTATAGTAATGAACTTTTAGGAAGAACTACTTAAAATGCAAAAAGAGCTAAAATCTAAAAATAGATAGAGAAGTTAACCAAAAACAGCTTGCACTGTTGATTGAGCAAACTGGGCAGATTCGGTATGAACTTACTAGAAAACTATATATGTTTTGGTATATAACGGTTCAATAAGCGACATTTTTACTAGAGATGCAAAAGCAACGCAAAACATTTTTAAATTTAGAATATTCAATGAAATAATAAATGAAACTTAAACAGGCAAACTGTGTTTCATGTATTCCGTATCGTAAGTGAATATGAATTCATGCAGTAACAAATCGATTAAAGTCTGTAATTACCAAGTAAACAAATATAATAATTTTAGTTGAATGAATCTTACACATTTAGTTATATCTGAGCAATTTTCCCAATTATTGAAGATGTATTTTTAAATGTTAGGCTTTGGCAAAGTGTCTGAGCTTCGTTAAACTATTCCGTCGACGAAATAATAGGACAGCTAAATTTATTCGAAATTAAGATTTTATGTCTTGAATATGATCGTGAAACTGTGTGCATGGAAAGGAGCAAAATGAACTTCAAAAATCTCGCTGTCACTTTTTGGAGACACTGAAATTACCATTAAAGATAGCATTCAGGAAAATCATTTTCGTCAAATTGGGAGGGAAATAAAGTATTTTGTGAAGGAAGTTGCAATGTCCGCTTAAGTAGCACAAACAATCAGGATATCATTCCTCCACATTATTAATTCCGCATAAATGAAAAAAAATAAATTTTTCCTGTCTAATGTGCAAAGAAATGATCTATAAATTTGAATTTTTGAAAGTGAACTTCTGTGTCTGAAATATTTTTTACCAAAATAAGAACTTATTGTTGCCACGACCTTCATATAATTTGTACTATTCCTTCTCTTCAATCTTTTCGTAATTAGTATAAAATTAGTTTGAATTAACGCAAATAGCATGAACATGTTTCATTACTATTTGTTTTCTGTGGTTTATGTTATATTGAATATCCGACTTGGATATTATTATGTATTAACTGGAAAAATATTTATCTTGTATTAACTAATAAAAATACACACTAAGTGAAATTTGAAAAAAATACAGTAAAGGTAAAAATCTTTGGTACCGCCTTAAATTTAATTATTATTTGAATGCGCGTTCCTTGCTAATAAAAATTTATTTAATTAAATCTGAAAGGGGAACTTTAAATTTAAACTATTGGACTTTAATCAAATTAGAATTTTTGATGGAGAAAAATATTCCGTATTTTATAAATATTTAATCAACTAATCGTCTATTAATACCCAACACTTATTTATAATATGTCTTTTAGATAAACAAATTGAATGGATATAAACCTTACAATGTTTTGCTTTATTGTAAGTATTATTGCTCAGTTTAAATCTTTCTTTTTATTTAAGCGTATTTTAATCCAATGCACAAAAAGCTAATTACTTTATCAAGATACCTCTTTCTAAAACGTTGTTATTTACCTAGATATGCTCACTTCTCGACAATTTTACTGTCGTAGGCTGCTTGAAGAGACATAATAGCTGTTTAATATTTAAAATTGCCTTTGATTTTGATAAAAAATATCTTAATTTCCTTTTGTGGTACATTATATGAATTCGTTTGTTCATGCTCAGTTAATATTTGCTATTGTAACTCTTTCATTTAACATTAACTTTTTATTTTAACTCAAATTAATCTCATGCAGAACATGCTTGTCCAGTAAAAATCCACTTGTAAATTCACCATTAATTGATAAGCATTACGAGGAATTATCTGGATAAGAAATCGGTTGAGAATGATTAGATTTTTGGAAGAACAGCGTCTATATTAGATCATTCTGTTTGCTATCACACTTAAACAAACTATTTAAGGTACTATAAATGGATGAGGTAATACAAGGAAAAATAGTGAGACTTGAAAACCCGACAGAGAAAAGTAAATTAGACAATCACCAAATTCGCCTTCTATGTTACATTTTCCATTGTATACGTTTTACTACAAAAAGGATAATACATTTATGCATCACAGTTGTGAATTATTGTTTGATGTAATCGATAAGATCTTAATTGCTTTTACTTTGTCTCTAAAATTTATTTATTTATTATTTTTAAATGCTTTGGTTTAAATTTAATTTTTATCTTCTTGCTTATAAACGCATATTTTAAAGCAGTGGTAGGTATTTCAATACCATTGACAGTTTTTATAGGAGATTGCTTTTTCTATCTAATGTCTTGATTAGTTGATTACCATTTCGTCTGGAACAAATTTTATTTCACTTTTAGGCAAGCATCATATTTATTTAATGTAATGTTATGTGCTTTATTAGTGAAAACTTTCATTCATAAGGCATATTAAAAAAAAATATAAGGGTAAAATTTATAATGAAATAATCTTAAGCATTTTCCAAATATTGACAATGTAAAATGACAATTTTATTTCCATGAAAGATGCTTGAGATAAGCAAAACCTAGTTCCGTTTAGTATTAATAACTCAAGAACATAACCATATCTTTAAATGCAATTTTAATTATTCGTAATTTGGTGGATGTAGTCACATATTTATGCAATTGCGCGTCTAATATGTGCAACATCTTTAAATTTATATGTGGTATAATGAAATCTATTCTTACTGCCTTGAGCATAATTTGCATTCAGAAAACAAACAACTTGGCTTTACAATTGTGATTGAACAAATATTCTTAAAAAAAGAAATTTTTTATTCAGCTGTATATGTATTCATAAAATATTATGGAACTAAACTACTTACAGTTAGTTTTCTGGTAGACTGAACAAAAAATCCGCAAGTGTTTGTTTTCCACAACTAAAAAGCCAAACTGAGGGTTTGAAATTAAGTATTTTTAATCTTATGAGGAAAGATTAAAGTAGTGGAGCAACTTATGAATTTGGGTTCTCCCTCTTCATTGAACTTCTTGCAAATTTCTTTCCTTCGTATTTTAATAACACGAACGAAAACAAATTCTCGGAAATGTGCTGGTAGTGAAGTAAATAAATCTAATCAGATTTTGCAGTCCCTCTCAGATACCATCCTATGATGACGAAAATTCTTGTTGGATTTAGGAGTAAATAATTCTTGTTTGTATTATTCATTGCAAAAAAGTTTTAATATTGATCATAGTCATCGGCATTCCATGTAAGTATCTCTAGTACAAGTTTCCAACCATTTTAATTGTTTTGATATACTCAATAAACTATGTGATAATAATTGAAAAAAATACATTTATCGCTTAAAAATGGAAATGAAGTAGATCTTGTAGAAAGTTTCATATGGATTGAGGATTTCATAAGTCGAGTTAATTTAGTGTAATTGTGTTTGAAATGGGAGCGTTGCAAAGGGAAAAAGGAGACTACTTAGGTTTGATATTTCCCCGTGTTCTCCTAAAGATTTCATGCTAGGCCAACAAACGTGAGTCCAAGATCATGCATTGTGCTATTTATTTCAAGATTTCTAAATAACGGGAATCCATAATCAGGACAGCCTTCCTTATTAACCTCCCTGTTGATTCTGGGTAGCGTTTATACCAGCTTCAAGGTGCCTCATGCGTCCGGAGTTTTTAAATAACATTCACTAAACTGCTTCAGAACAGCTACTGTACATAGATCTTTGCTAAGTGAGTATAAGCGTTGTTTTATGTTAAAGAAATTTGAATTTCTTTTATTATATCATTATGGGTATTGTAAAAAATTAACTTTACGGCAGTAATCATGTGATGATGGTCTTTAAAAAGCTAAATATTTTTTCGAAGTTAATGAAAATAAGGAATAATAAAATTCAGAGTAAACGGAATTTAATTCCGGTTACAGTTATCAAGCAAAGATAGAATCGAACTCTAAAAGCATTTTAAAGAATAGTTTAGCATTTCAAATCTGATAATTGGGTTATTAAAAAATCTAGAAAATATTTGAAAGATATTAGTCCTAGAGATTAAATTTACTTGCGTTTTTTACGTTTTTAAGAAATTTTTTTAATGAACATTACAAAATCATTAAAACACAAAACATAAATTACTTCTGTTTTTACCAATTTACTTCGCAACTTGTAATACAATTGCTAAAAATCAACAAATAAATACAGAAAATTGGAATGTCGAAATTTCAAATGATTTTTTTGCAATATACTGCCAGTCGTTTGGACATATTGTTATTATATTTTAACGTTAATGTTTAGAGTTCTATTAGAACTTTTGTGATAAATGTAAAACATGGTTCTTTTTTGAGAAGATACATCGGCGCAATCTTTCATCTTTATAAAGTCATTAATTTTTCTTCTTAGCAGTGTTTTCTAACCATTTCTATCTGAAATTACACTTGAAAATAAGAAGACTAACGAAACTATCTTCATCTTTTAAATATT